TAACACTAATAACAACAAATGCGGTTTTTCCTGTACTTGCCTCCTCTCAAGTCCTTGGCAGTTCATATCTTCTAAGTGGCCAGAAAAGTTTGGAAAACTGTTGTTAGGTGGGCTTGCATTGGTTTTTGAAAAAGCTTCGATATATATGATATCTGCTTATATTTGGTTCTTTAAAGGATTTAGCAAAATATTTTGTCTCTATTGTTCGCTTAGAGCAAGCGCTCTTGAGCTGTGTTGTGGTGCTCCTTGTAACCTGTTCCACAAAACCAGTTGCGAACAAAATCCCGATCATGTAACTCCATAATATCTTTCTTAAACGGGATTTGGCTCACATTATTTAGATCTTACAAAATGAAATGTTTTAATCATAAGCGATTTATCTTGACAAAACAATGATGCGCATTTCATATGTCCTGCATTTTTAACTGATGCTGTTTAATATTGCTGCTTTAATTACCATTTGCACCAAAGCCAAAGTCTTATCCCCAATTTCCACTTAGATAATTTACGCCTTTGGAAGATCATCTAATAATGCTGAAACTATAATGCACGAAGCATTGAACAATGCAGTGGCTGCAGAAGTTCATGTTCTATCATAATCGGAGCCATTATTAATAAGACAACACCCTTGAACTACTGCAAGAGCGAGCTTTGAATAGTTCCTTAATTATTTGGAAGCATAGGCGAACTTAGTTATTCTGGTTATTTTTTTTAAGAAAGTTTGCAATACCGGAAACTTTGCGAATCAGCAATGTAAAGTATTTATTAGGGAAATCTTCTATTGTTTGGTAAGAAGCTTGCCTTAATGCTCTTATCTGAACAACGTGTTGAACTATAAATTACTTGCAAAACTTTTCGACTAAAAGAGACCGAGAAGCATCTACGTGTGGTACGGAGAACAAATGCTTTCAAATTAAAAAAGATTTGTGATTCTTAATTTTGTTTGGATATTTATGTATTTTCAAACATTTTTATAATTGACTATTTTCTAATTATGTGAAATTATTCTATTTTTCTTAAAATATATTTGGAAGTGACTAAGTTTTTTCCAAACTCCAAGTTCGAAATCACTTATATTTCACTACCCCCTGCTTAATTATTCTTTTCTTATTTTTCGGTACATTCTGAATATATTTTGAAATGCAGATATAGTAAATTCATCGATATTCCGGTGAATAATCGTGAATAATTAGTAGGTACCCAGTAGGCAATTGTAAATAAATGTATAAATCCAAAATGCTATAACGATAACTGACAAAAATACGGTCTAAATCTATGTTAGATGGCCAGAATTTTAAAAATATAATAAAATTGAGAATAATGTAAGCAAGTTTTCTTATTACATTGTTCAGTTATCCAGAACTATAAAAAGTACAATGATAAATTTCTAGGATCAGTCATTAAAAAGGCGTGGTCGGCACACAGTAAGTAATTGTCCGCGAATTGTTTGTCCCGAATAATTACCTTTTGCCTTAAATTTCTGATAGTGAAAATCACAATTTGAAGCTTCGATAATAGCCGTTCCAGAACCGTTATTTGAATATGCAAATACGTTCTAAAAGTCACTTAAACGCCAATATTCGCCGTAAATGAACTTTTAATCTTAGAATAATTAAGTCGTAAGTGAACAAAATGAATATTGATCAATGGCATTATTAGGTCGCTCTTCGACACTTTTCCAAGTGAGTGCACAGAACTTATCTTTTCTTTTAGTCTATTATTTTTAGTCCTAAAACAATGATGTTCAGTCATATTAAATTATATTATGAAATGAAAATGATACTTAAATGAAATACAACGCCCATACGGAAGCAAAAGTATTCTAAATTATATAGCACTTTCCAACTGATTTATATAATTTCCTCTTTTATAGACTTTCCTAGGTTTTTCCTAGAATATTGAACATATTTAAGTCAATATAACAATTTTTGATTAGTAATAATCAAAACATATATATTGAGTCACAAATTTAAAAAAGTTCTCGCAAACTACTTGATTTTCTGTATGTTATTTACGGATAATCCGATTTCCTTTATTAGCAATTCTCTTTCATAGTAACGTCGTCGAAATCCATCCAAAGTGGATACATATATATATTATATTCTCAGCACCTCTCAGGTCGGGTACTTTCCTTAATCCCTTTACGCTTTTCTGCTTAAAACTTTTAGAAGATTGACCCTTGGGATCTTTTGGCCCTCGTTAGAGTTTATCAAACATATTCCGTCTACTAAGCCCTTATGTTTCCTGGCAAAGGTTTGGAAAGGTTTTACACGAGAGCGTTCAATTTTATAGAGCGAATTGTATTTAATGTTAAATACAATGAAATTTGATACGCCCTTTACTTTAAATAGCCTTTTTATTATGACTTTTACAAGTGTAACTAAATAGATAATTTACATAGCTTTATATCTTAAAATCACAAAAAGATGCTGAAGCATCTTAAATATAAATCAACAAGTGGAAAACGAAACAAGTGGAAAAAACGCTTTAACAAGCTAGAATATTTTTAATCAGAAGAATTTGAACTTTTCCACCTTTGTGTATCGTGTAATAGGCAGGTTACTTTAAAAATATATTTCGGCCTTCACTTTATGATTTCATGTAAACAAATAACATTACAGTTTTTAATGTCACTTTGTTACTTAAATCATAGATGAATTTGAAATAGCTTGTGATTTAAGGCCCAGTTGAAGTGCTCCTATGAAACACGTCACCAACGATTGATTAAAGTACAAGATTTGAGCAAATCAATTTTCATTCGAGTTTTAGCACCATTCGCAACGTGTATGGGTGTCAGGGACAAGGTGAATTTGATATTATTCTAATGAACCAGCTAAAAATGCTTACTTCCGCTTTTGACTTGATTAAGCAACCCATCATTATAGAAAACTTTCAAGCAGTGTTCGTTACTTCCTCTTCGCTTCTCGAATTTCATTGTCAATATGACGATTTAAAATGCTATGTTTGCAGATAGATTTAACTGCGCTGATATTAGATAGTTGAATTGAAAATTCTGGAAGAGGGTCAAAGTATGCATAGCACTAATTACAAAAGGTGATAATAAATGAAAAAAAGTGAAATGTTTAATGGGAAACATTGTTTTCTTGTGTCAAGATATTAGAAAATTCCAATCATGAAAATTAAAAAGTTGTTATAGAGTTTGATCTTTGGCTGATATTTTTCAGTGACTGAAATGATTAATGGTAAAATGTCCTGAACTGGGGCAAGCGCATGGAGCTTCTTTGTAATTGTATTTTTTTGTTTATTTTTATTAGTTATTAGTATCTAAGTAAAATGGGTCAGCAATGAATTCAACTATTCGTGTATTACTAAATTCAACGCTGACCGAAAATTATTTTGCTCAAATTTAATGCAGTAAACAGTTTAATTTATTTTTTTTAAGTCTTGAACTTAGAACAGTAAATTCGGATGACAAAACTGTATAATGTACATACTTTCCTGACTGTGTTTCAATTGCAAATCAAAATTAATTCCTGGGTTTCAGTCATTTATTCTCTCTATTTATCAATTAAAATACGTTTCGGTGTATTTTTCCACCATCATCAGTTTTTCTAAAATAACAGATAGTTAAAAAATTTGTCATTAATTTAAATCACAGTTCGTCAATAGCCTCATCATATCACACACTAAAATACGTCACAATTGCAACACTTTAAAACATTCCAAAATTAATCAGGCCTAACAGGTGATTAGTCAGAACAATCAAATTTGGGAAGAGACTAGAATTATTTGTTCAGATACTTAAATATTTTTACTTACATGTGTAGCGTTGTTGCTACCTTAAGCCTTGGCATACATTTGGAGTATTAATTTTGTCCATTTTGGGCAAAAAGCGAAATACTGTTTATAATGATTTCTTTTACTTTCAGCTATTTTTCTTTGCATTCCGAGAATATTATTTTTGGTTTGCAAAATTCTTCAATATGCCGGGTGTTAGTTAATATTCTATGTTTATTTCAATTAATTAATGTATGATATACTGAGCTAAGATTGTCGGTATCCGATCTGAAATTCATAGCATTGTTGTTTTTTTTTGCAATTGTGATGTATTTTAGTGTGTGATATGATGGGGCTGTTGACAAACTGTGATTGTTTTTTAGATTAATGAAATTTTTTTTTAACTATCTGTTATTTTAGAAAAACTGATGATGGTGGAAAAATACACCGAAACGTATTTTAATTGCTAAATAGAGACAATAAATGACTGAAACCCAGGAATTAATTTTGATTTAAAACTGTATAATTAAACATGTAAATYAATTTTTTTCATGCAATTCACAGTATAAAGACTAACTCCTAGTTAAAAAGAATAGCCATGCAAAATAAAACCRTACATKTTTAATGGCGAAATCGTTTTAGAGCTAAAAGAAAATATTGCTAAGCTGTKGAAATTATTTTTGACAGACAAAACCCTGTAAACTMTATTTTCCACGCTTAGAACTTGTGCTATCTAGGGATTTCTTTTGCCATTAGGGTCTTTGCAGRAACTTGTCGCCTTACATGCTCTTCTTTCTGAGTAGAAGTTGAGTTTTTATACGCTTTTCAGGTTTCAAAYTTTGTACTCAACTTGATTGCATTATCGTGCCAATTCCAAACACATAAACTTATACCGTTCGACTCTCGGCTATCTATCGATTTGTCTTTTGCTTGTCTCATTTTTTGTTGAACTGACTGAATGTATTCCATCAAGAACTTTTGCTACCTAAATTTACCTATCGATTGAACATGTTTTTGGCTTAAAATCTAGGAACATTATCGAAAGCGATACGTTAACTATCGAAGTTATCTTCTGTGTTTCTCTCCAAGGACTAAATTAATATTACACTACACAGAAACATTACCTTGTTTGAACTTTAAAATGATACGACTGTGAATTTATTAAACGCAATTTCACAAATAATTGCAACTACGCAGATTTTAACCTATTGCAGAAACCATACTAAATGAATCTAATTGAAAACCGAAAACAAAAAACCTACCTTTTGAATTTTCCAGGTCGCTTCCAAATGTACATCCTGTCAGGAAGCAAGCCCAAACAATTAAACGAACTAGTATATTCGCACATTTCCCCATGATTTAACACTCTACAAACTATTTGGTTCACTAAAACTGATTCAAGTTTTGCAGCTTTGCGAAAAGGCCGCTCTCAATTGTAACATCGTGGATATTAAACATTCAGCACATCCGGATTATTTACTCACGTAGTTTCAGTATTGTTGAACAAACAATTGGCGAAAATAATGAATTTCCGAAAAATTCCCGCCACATAGCGCACATAGCCAGCAGTCACAACAGCCGAAACACATTGCTACAGTGATAGGGTTGTTTAACGATTATTTCGAGTTTTTTCACGGTTTGCAGCCATTGATGCATAATACCCGATTAGGAATGCGAATTCCCAAATTCTCATTTCCAGATGAAAATTCCTCCACTTTGGATGGTCATTTTGTTTGAGGGTGATCCACACCTAAAACAATAAAAAGTTACTAGTCGAGAGGATGGATTATAAACAAAAAGTGCTTGATTCATTCGAAGTTTGGCATTGCTAAAACTCAGTGTGATTCAACACCATGATAGATATAGTTCAATCTACAAAAGTTATCTTTTGAGTTCTTTTGAAGAAAAAAACGGTAACATGGGTTTTATATAAAGAAGTATTAATATGTTCGAAATGTGTATCAAACTTTTATTAGCTTCCCATCTGTGTCTTCGATTTGCATCTCCTCAGTTTGTGTCTTAGCAAGGTGTGTGAGCTGAGAGTAAATAATTATTTCTTGTGCATCAATGGTTCTTTCTAAATAGTTTTTGTATTCGATTTTAGTGGCTTCTGAAATTCTAGGATTATTTCTAGGTTTATCTGATATAAATTTATCAATGTAGCGATAATGAATTATTTCTGAATTAACACAATTTTTCATCTAGCTTTGACCACATCAAGTGTACAAAAATTAGCGCAAATTGTGTCAATTTTTTATCATAGCGTCAGAAAGTCCGAATTTTTTTATAAAAAATATTTTTTTAGTAAATGTCATGTCAGTTTAAACAAGAAGAACTTGATTACAATGCAGAAGTCGTGAATTTAGAAACAAAATATGTGATAAATTAATGTGTTAAAACCGCGCAATAATACGCAAAACTTCTCTCAAAGAACATAAAATAATTTGAGTTAATAACAATCTATTAATTTCCCAAGTTGATCCAAACGTCACATTTGTATATCACCAATAGTTGCATTTAGCAGCCTTAATTTGAAACATATATTTTCAAAGTTAAGAAGAGATAAGTTATAGATAAATACCTCATTAAACCCATATAGATATTACTCTTTGTGAGCCGGTAAAGATTCTAGTTGTATACTAAAATTTTAGATTTTCTTTAAATTTACAAACTTCAAACTTCAACTTCAAACAAAGTTTTACATAAAGCCCACTGGGATAATTATTAGTTGGAATAATTTAACTTTCTTCAACAACTTCTTGATTACTTTGTGCTTGCATGAGTAAGTAATTAAACTTTGTTGAAAAGTATTGTTAGACAATATGCTCAACAGGTATACAGCTACAGTTAGTTCAATGAGGTAGATTTTTCGCAAAATATTTAAGACCATTAGTTTGAGGTTGCATGCTGTACCGGAATAATTATAATGATTATGCTATTAAAGCTCCAGACTTACACATTATGCTTTTATTATGTAGTAAATATGCACTATAAAAATACTTGCACACAGATTCTAGGAAAAGTGTTTGTGCAATTGCTATTGTTTCCTATGAACGTAATCCTTCTATAACTGATGGATATTCAGACTTTCTATATTGCTGAAAATTCGGACTAGTGAACCCACTGCAGTGCTCACAAGGTCCATTTTGAACTTGATCCGCAGGTACAAGCACTGTAAAGTAGTGGAAACCACTAAAAGGTGCAAATTTATAAGAATAAATAAGCGCATAATTTGTCAGCAGCGAAAGTTCAAGTTATCCAAGGACTGTTGTCTTTGCAGACTTGTCACAAATGATGGGTCACATAGGGAATTTAATCAGTTTGAGAATTACAATATATGTATTTAGATCGTATATTCTCATTTCTCAATGAGAGTCGACAAAAACAGCATCTGATATGAGTTTAATTGAAAAATAATGACCAGGCGTCTTTCTCTATACGTATTTTGCAAGACTCAATTTTCGAGAGGTAGGTTTACATAAATCAAAGGATTAAATTATTCCCAAACTCTTAGAATGTTCGTCATCAAATCAAACCGGATAACCACGTGTAAACAAGCAAATGGTGCGAGAAATTAACTCTGGCTGGAAAAGAGTCAATAAACTAAAGGTGGGCACAAAACATCATCTGCTTACTGTCTAGACCAGAAAAAAAATGTAAGAAGATGTAATCTGAAATAGTTTAATGAGTTTTACATTTGGGAAAGACATTGTAGCAAGGAGAAAGAAATATCGCTTTAGTAAGTTACATGAGCGCTTACGTTTAGTACACGCGAATGCTGGAAAATTTTATACAGCAATAGACTTTTAGAGAAATTTTAAGGTAGATTTATTAAATGCGGTTGAGAACCTCAACAAATACGAAAATGAAGTGTCAATAATAAGGGCCGGTTCCAAGACATCTGAAAAGATTAAAGATAAAGATTATGTCAAAGAAGATGTAATTACAATTAACTCACAAGATTTCACATGCTATTATTAAATAATGTTAAATTAACAACTTAAACGGGTTTTAACAGAATTGATTTAATGGTAAAAATGTTGCTAAAATGATTATTATATCCAATAATTGTGAAAGTGACTCTATTTTTTCGCATCTTTGGCCATGAGCTATAACTTGAATTTGATATAATTGAGAAATGAACTTAATAAATCTTTGAATGGCAATTTCAGTAACTAAAACTGTTTTCAAAAATAAGCTAAGCAAACAAATGTAGTTTTATTATGAAAATGGCATCGCCAAATAATGAACCTTTCTAAAGAGTTCCCAGGGACAGTTATATTTCTCTTTGTGAATTGTTAAGAGAATGGCGTATTCGCTTCTCTGCACCAACACAATTGAATTGATTCTCAAATGGAAGCCAATCTAATTAACTTCTAAGTATAGTGTTTTGCTTTCGCTTGAGTCCAGCTCACTGCTCAATTTGTACTAATCATCTGCTCTAAGAAAATAAATAATGCCCGTAAGGGAAATTTTGTTTAGAAACTGAAGCTATGTAAAATATGTAAAATGTATTACTTACATCTAATTTAGATAAATCGATTCCCCTAAATGTAGAGTAAGGACTTCAATATTCGAAGTGTTATAAAGTATGCCACGAAATGATATGAATGAATATGTTAAATGAGAGTCCGATGTATCAAACCTGACTTGTTAGACCTGGTATTAATGCAGAGATTCTGTTCAAATGAATTACTTGAAGGTGACTGATGTGTAGTGGAAAGTATATAAAAAGCTATTCAATAAAAGTTTTGTAGGTAGAAAGAAAATAAGTGAATAACTAATAAAATAAATAACTAAATCAAAAGTGTGTATCATACAAAAAATATCAATTTTGACTCAATTATATCGCACGCAGTGGATTCATACGACAAAAAAGCACAGTGGGTCTGGCAGCTTGTAGTACGTTTGCTGAAGAATGAGCAAGTAAAAAATAATTATAAATATGCCCTTCATTATTTATTATTCTACGTGTGAAAGCAGTAATCATTGCTTATACGACAATTTAGTACCTTTTAAAAGTTAATTTTGGAAATATTTTCTCCTGCTCTGTTAAATGTCTCTATAGTTTTATCGACTAGTTGCCCATAATTATTTGTCAGTTCCTTTGATGCGACAAGTTTAGAACAAATAATTTACATTATGATGCTATCGAATTACATAATAATGCTATTGAAAATGTTAATATTCCCTTGATTACCTATTGGGAGCTGGATAGCCACAATTCTTCACAAATAAATTAAATTACTATGAGATTATTTGCCGTATTTTTTCGCACTAGCATGTTTTAATCATTTGTGATAGGAATTTCCTTCATTCGTGAAATATTTTGGCATTCATGTCGAACTAGAAAATAAATTAAAACTATATCATAGAAATATATGAACAGCTTGTTGCAGTCCACATATAACAACAATTCATTTTAATGGCACTCAGAGATCTACGAAGGCAGCATATGAGGAAAAGGGAGTACAATGGGCCGTATATTAATAAATGCTGTTCTTTTAATATTAATAAACAAATAAACTTGTTACTGACATTGGAGCAAACGTTTTTATAAATAGACTTTAATGTCCTGGTGTACACATATTAGTAGTTAATTAACCTTTTGTTTCAACAAATTTGATATGAAAGCAATACTGTTAAATCGGGTAAAATGGAGTTATTACTTCGTATGGAATAGTTGCGTTAATGTCGAAATACCGTGTTGAACTCTCAAAAGTTCGTTGCTGACAAATGGATTTTAGTGATATACTCATATCTTGCCATTAATGATTGATGGCAGAATAGCAAAAGTTTATTTTGCGTTTCTATTTCAAAACATTTCTCTTTTTCGTTGTGTTTGCTGCAATACTATGGGTAATTCTCCTACTTCCAAGAGATACTAATTAATTATCAAGATCGAACTGCAGATATATCCTATAAACCTAATTGTAATTTTGTATTTTTATGCAGATCATCTAGACCATATGTCTATTGTCAAAGTGTTGGTGGAATTGAAGTAGATTTATTTCCTATAACAAAAATCCCTTTAACAAATGTTTATTTATATTAAGGTCTAGTAGGGTTTGCAAAGAGGAGACAACAGTGGCCGTCTGGTGTGTTGTTATTAGCATGCTAAAGTAATGTGTTGTTCCGGTAACAATTTCTTTACACTTTTAAATGTTTTCCACCTAAATTCGATCAAGTTTATATCTTGTATTCTAATGAAAATATTTCATTTGATCACAAATATGTTTTATAATTTCCCATATTTGCATGGAAATTTATTCGTTTCCAACCGAAGAATTATTGACTATTTTTTAAGCAGCTGAAATGCAAATTACCCCCGGCGAAAAGATAAATTTCTTCTAAGTTAATCAGCAAGTTTAAAACAATGCACGATTTGAAAAGATTTAATACCCTTTGTAATTTAGTGAAAACGTAAAATGGAAAGTTTCTACTTGAAGAAGATTTATTATCTCTATAGTAAAATTGGAAAGCAGTTTAATTTTGGGTAATGGCTAAGAAGAAGGTAGGAAAATGATCCGGAAAAGGAATGATAAAGAGTTATCACAATTTATCCCGGTATGCTAATGTATGTAACTTTCAAAATTAGCTGCAAGTTGCTTGATACAACAGGATAACGGACAACGGATACTAATTCAAATAAGGATGGTTTTCAACCAGTATTGTAATTTCGTCTGATAAACCAAATATACAAAACTTATTTAATTTTTGATACGTATAAAATGTATCTTACTTGCCTCAACATACAATGAATGCGTTATTTTTTAAATGTACCAATATATAAATAAAAATGGATTTTAAACGGAAATGAGAGATTTAAATCTTCACTCTGTAAAGTCGCTTTTGTTTTAAACAGGGAATAGTACAATTTCGGATGCCGGGTATCCAAATCTGGTTGTTTAAAATCAACTGTGTTTAATGGAATGCGTATTAATAGAGGCTGGGTGCAAAAAGTTGTAAATGACTTGAAACAAAAGGGTGTATATAATATTAGCTTCGATTTTAACCCACGGAATTTTTTGAATGATGATTTTGTTTAGATTAACTTTTTTGTTTTAAGAACAAAACAAAATTAAGTTAAACGTATTTGAATATACTCTTTCAATGACGTCAATGAACGATTTAAATAAGAGTATTAACTTTCTATAGGGTTCATATTCGCCTTGAAAATATAAAATAGCAAGTCTTCAACAGCCCATATCTGACGAAAGATGAATACTAAATATGCACGACTTTAAATGCGAAATATACGTTTACCAATTTCCACATTTAATTACAGATTATCGTTAAAATTACTCAGGGAATTTTGGGCAAGTAAGAAATGTTTCGGTGCAATCAATAATATTTAGAGGGTGTTTGATCAAAATATTTAAGAAAGCGATAGTTTTAAACAAAAATTATTAATCAAATAAATAATTGTCAGTTTCAAGCCACAGATAGAAAACTTTTCTGTTCAAAACTGAATAAAACGCAATTCACTTCTGGAACAGGCATTCCTGAAAAGGTAATAATCAGAAGCAATTTATCAATCATGCAAAAGCCTGGATTTATCTTTGACCGCATTTCTTCAGACCACAAATTGCTTGCTTTGTACTAATCACATTGAATGTGAGACAGGCTTTAATAATAATTTATTGATCCCACTCAACTGTCTGTTGTGGTTTCGATGTAAAACTCGACTTTGTGGAGTATTCATTACGAAAAAAATACATTGGACATTCAAATTGTTAATGGAACATAAATATCCCGAAAATTTATTTCGAATTCAGCACTAAGCTTGATTAATTTTCTTTGAAACAGTAATACAATATAGAAGTAATTTATTTTAGGACTTTTTGCTGGGGTATAGATTGGAATGGTTCTTTAGGTTGCTAAGCCAAACGCCACTTTGCTAAATCTGAATGTATTTCCGCAAATGACCAGCTTATTTTGGCTTATTACATTTATGTTATTACACAAATATCAATTTGGTCCGGTAATTCCATTCGCTTAAAAGTAGCTTAGTTTATACATATATCATACTAAAAGGCATTGCTGAAAAATGTAACATATAAATTTATGAACTAGGCTGCAAATATAAACAAAAATAATCAATTTCAGATAATTAACTTAATTAATACAATATAATTGATATAAATTATGCAACTGTGTTTGTAACTGTAGATTAAAATTTTCTGGTCGGGGTGAAGGTATTTTCCTTTTGTTGACAAAATATGGGTTCATGCAATTAATTACCGTGTACAATCAACTTTGCTGTAAATAAAATCAACAAAAGGCCGGTTACGCATAATTAGTTTGGTTCAGTTATGAATTGAAAATGTAATTCGCTGCAATCTAATTGTGTATTTAAGGTTTGAACAGATCTCATTCGGTATTTAAAGGTAAATATACATATCAATTATTAAACTAGATTAAAATAGTATATTCCAAAAATATTTCAAATCATATCTATTAATTGCAACAAGTATGGCAACGGCGAAAAAAGTAATATATACAAATATACATAAAAATAATAATGCTCTTGTGTCAACATGCAGGTACTGACAAGTGCACATATTTTAAAAGTAGAAATGTATGTTAAAAGTAAAATATGCTGAGAAAATCAAGTCTTACTTGCGTTAGTATTAAGTTCTAAATCATAATAATATTAGAACCTACACGAAAATATAAAATATCAAGCCAAATATCAATTTTTATACATAAAATTTTAAATCCCAGTTTCATATTTTTTATAAGCTACAAAAACGCTTTAATTCAATTTATTCAATTCAACTACAAGGCACCTGCTCAGTTTTGCAGATGCGTTTCTGCTTTTTTGGGACCTACGGATTAAAAATATAAACACAGGTGAGTTAAAATTGATAATATATCTCCATATAGTCATCGATTTGAATATCCAATAACACCCAAAATCAGCATAATTCATATTCCCGCAAATAAAACCTCGTAATTTTTTCATACCATTTCAATCAATCGGAATCGAAATTTTTCGCAATGCTATGTAAACCGTACATAAAGGATTGTTGATTACATCAAAGAAAACCGTAGCAAAAGCACTTCCTTCAAACCCTAATGCGAGTTTCAAAAAAGGATTTAAACCTCAAAAAACATAAAATAGTAAGTAATGACTGGAAATTGTGCAAAAAATTCACGGTCTTCGAAACTATTCTTATCATTATGACAAAAAATACATTAAGGATCTGAGAATATAAGATGAATGAAATCATAACTTCCACTTTTATAGCATTATATTTATATTATTATGTATACTTTTTTAACTAACAGCAATTAGAACAAAATATTACGCATTGAAAATATGGAGATTATAACATCGATGGTAATAAATAACTACAAAAATAACAGTTTGACAATAAAACATGAAAATAAGTATCCTCTCTCCTATCCAAAGCACATACAATAACCAGGCACAATTTAAACCAGTTGATTTAAAATCTAGCGTAATCAATTTTATACCCGCATATGATGGTACATTTGTAACATCTTTAATTACAGTATATTTTTAAGTTGGCAAAATAAAACTTCGTCTTAAACAAAGTAAAATATCTAGAAATTATTTGTCAAATTATATTTAGAAGATCCACCGTATTTTATACTTTAAATTTAATTTGTCTATTAAAGTGGGCAATTTTACATAATATTCGAGTTTATCTTCCGGTAAAAGACTTCCAATTTTCAAAAATACTCGTTAATAATTTGGATTGGATTTGGAAGTTGACCAACAGAGTCTCATCCGGAGTTCTACTGACCACCTGCTAAAATATTGATGTAATTTTTATATTTTCATGCTCGAATTTGCCTACGATTCAATTGCAATTAATACAGTTATTAAAATGTAGATACACTTTTTTCTGCTAGAGGTAAAATGTACGTAGCTTTATTTTTATAAATGCAGCAACAAACTCTCCAGCTGTAAGAGGCACTGAAACAAAAGTCATTTGCTGACGAAAATATATCAGAAGAGTTCCATAAACGGAACATACAATTAGAAAATAATGGCCTAATATAAAAAAGCTGTAAACATAATTGAAAGTCCGTTAATACCTATTACAATAGGCGTTTCCCACCAGCACTCTATATTAATTTGGAATTATAAGGTCTCGTACCTACTTCATCAAAAATTCATATCACGAAGCAGAAAGGTAATGTTTCTTATAGCCACAAAAACAATTATCCTTAGCACGGTATTGTGAAACTCATAAGCGGTACGCTTAAGAACAGTGAAGCTTTATAATTCGGGAAGCTGAAAAACTTCAGGCAACAACTCCCTGGAAATTGCTTCCATACGAGACAAAATCGGGTACAAAATAAAATAAAGTTCGTGCCTCCGCGCCAACACCACCGCAATCAACCGACGACGACGGGCGTAAAACTACTAAACTTTAGCCATGACTTCAATGGCTATTTATAGGATTTTATTCCCCCAATTTGCCGAATTAGGGGCTGAAAGAAACTGATTAGGAGCAAAAAGTTTGCTAATTTCATTTCCAACGTGTATCTGTGACAAATGCTATCCTCTGAAGTGCTTGAACCCATTCAAACCGATATCTGAAGCTGTTAAACTATCAAGAAAACTTCAAACTACCTAGGACTTATTTCACACCTAATTCATACTGTTCATGTAATATAAACTAAATAGTGCTACCCACTGTTAACTGTCTAAAATTAGAACAATTGTCTCAATAGCCTTTGAGTAGACTGATTGGTTATAATGGAGTTAAATCCTGGGTATTTTGTAGGTATATATATAAAGAATTGTGTTTTTACTTTAATTTCAATCTAACATAGTTTAGGATAAAGTCCAACAGCCAAATCCACTTCGCATAATAACAACTCCAAATAATTGAAACTATTGTTTCATTCCAAAACAATCACAAATTTCCATTACTGTTATAATATTTTGCTTATGTATATGTTTTGCGCTAATTTCGTAGAATGCCGTGTCTTTAATAAATCATATATGAGTTATTTGCCAAAGTTCAACAATGGTGAGTATAAATAATTTGATTATAATCTGAGTTCATCAGCTCTAACAGCTCTATTTTCCAATATCAGCAAATGGATGAAACAGTACAGGCTTTCTCATTTCGAAATTATCAGAGACGCTTATAATTTAAATATTTTCATTTCGTTTGCTACCAATCTATGTGGTATAATTAACTGTTAGTAATACGTTAATAGCACTGCCAATTTTTTTACTTCAAATTTTGGAAACCGTTATTGGATTCAGTTTTGCAGCTACACTGTACAAGATATTATAGATTTAAAAATTGCATAAATTAAATGCAATTGAATAACAGATTTAAAATAAAATAAATTGATAATATTCCAAGTTACGTTGGTAGTGCTTTAATTGATAAAGCATGTTATATTATACGCTTAGCCACAAATAAGACGATCTAGGCAAACTTACCTATATCCAATGTTGTTTCATTTTGCCGCTACAACGCGCTAAAGTTTCCAAATTAATATCGTTTTTTCTAAATAAATTCTAAACCTCTTTGTAGATTTTCACTAATGTTTTGTTAATAATTGTTCCTACGCTAAATAAACTAATAATTAACATCACTTGCTTATCATTATAGTTTACTAGCTATCTCTTCTCTTGTCCTAAGAAGGCTTCACAGTTCCAACCTTAATATCAGTTTCTCTTTGAGAACGGTTGCAACAGAAATTAATTTTCTACGACCTACAAACAGCACTTTCACGGTATTTGCAATTTGGTTTTAATGCTAGCTGCAGCTACTTTTTCTTGCTTTATTGAAACTGATAAAATTAAGAAATGAGAAGAAGCCCCCTTTTTAAAAATCGTTTTTTGTAACAAGGTTCTAATTTTTTTTTAAATTATTCCCTTTCATTTGTCTATGGGTATTATATTCTTGAGTAGTCCTACATTTTAATCATTAGGAACAGTGAAAGGCGTTCGGCATCAGCAGAGCCGTCAAGAGCTTTTGGGAATGATTTTGAGCTTATTAGCGCTCATCAGCTCTGTTAGCTCTTTTACTCATTAACCCCCAATTGCTAGTAATGAAGGTTTGCTAATACTACAATTTGTGAACATGTATGTTTTAGGCTTTTGTAAACTTTCCGCTGTGTTCAATTTCCTGAAAGTAAAACGAGTTCAAAGATTATCTTGCAATCCAAAATTTGAGGCCATCGTGTTGGGTACTATTTTAGTGCATCAGAAACGATCAACCAGTCGGTGCAGTCAATAGGTTTGATTTATTTATAAATACGTTTTTATATTTTGGCGTAGGCACATGATGTAACATTGTACGACAAGTTTTATGAAAAGTAATTATTAACATTAGCCCAGCGAAACCTTCTATCTCAGTAAGAAACTATCTTATTTTCACAAAAATACACAGTTTTTAGATGTGTAATCAGCAAGCACCCTCAGGGCTCATTTCGAACATATTAGTTTGCTGGCTATCGTCAGCTGATTCAACTTGCAAATAACGCTCCCAAAAGCCAGTATTTTAAATGGGTTTGGATGAAATTTAAAACAAGAATCGAGCTTCTCTATTTTAATTAAAGCAAACGATGCATTAGAATTTTTTTTTCTGCTACACGTTTTGCTGTAAAACTGAGCCGATTTGCAGTAATTATTGCTCTTGTAGTATAAAGTCGAATTTTATATTATAACTCACATGTAGGCAGGGTGATTCAGCACTAAAAATACCAAAGTTATAGGGATCATTGAGAGCAGGAATTGAAAATATTGGAGAATCTATAACATCCCATGTCGAAAAGTGATTCTGCAGAAGGCGCCTTATCATTTTGTGTACCGTTTTGTTCAAAAATTAATTTCTCGAGTTTTATTGCGTTTGAGTCGTTCAAAATGTCGTTATGAACTTGAAGACATTTGTGCATACCTCGTACATGGTTTCAGTGGGCTTGACTGGAATTTTCAGATTCGCTTAAAATGCGGCAATAATTCTTCAAACCAGGTTTCGCCCTGTCCTTGCGTGCCTGGTTTTTCTTTGGTCCAAACATGATTAAACAGTGTAAAACTGGCTTCATAGATGTAAAGTTTGAATTTCCCTGTATAAGGTCGACTCAATTTTGAGGTTGGATTTACTTAATTCATTGTATTTTTTAATTGTGTGCCAATCATACTAATCATAATAAAATAAATCAATCTTTTGAGATGACTCTAATATTCCGTGAAAATGGTTCCAAAACTGTTTTTTTTTCTCGTATAAGTATTAAGGTTTCCGAAAAAGTGGAAAGCAGGAAAAGATTTATTCTAAGTGTATTGTCAAGTGAATTTATGCCGTATAGAATTTGTTATCGGGGATAAATGTTCTGTGGGAACTAAACGTAAAAAGCACAGATTTATCTCATTTAAAGGCAAAAGCGGGACACGATAAGTCCACAATCAAACATGCACTAAATACACACTAAATACTAAATTTACATGTTAACAACTAGACAACAACTAAATGTACTAAAAAAAGATAAATATGGAATAAAGTTATACTATTGGAAGATTGTTTAGTAAATTTTTAGCAGCAGTTATCTTTTGCAGCAGAGAATAAAACAGCTTTTTTGCTTGAAAATAATTCATAACGTTAACTACGAAATTCTCCAAAAGTAATCCACAAATTTGTTCCGCAACTGTTTACGTTGCAAGTTACTGCTCCAAGTGCAACCCTGGCGTATTGAGTGCATTAAAATAGATTCAACAACGGTGAAGTCAATTTCGTTCTCATTAATTCCGAATTAGCATTTTGTCTCTATGCAATCTATGTAAATTTAAATGTCTGCCATTATGATATGATAATTGACAATAAATTGTGTTGCCAGCGAGTTGGTTGGAATTTAGGACCGATCGGGAAACAAATATTCCAGTTTGCATCATATTTCAATTAGATCGTATAACTCCTCCAAACTAGTAATTTAAAATTTATTGCAGTGTTAGAGAAGCAATAGTCATTGAAAGTAGTTCCGACATAATGGACAATTTAGGATTCAATGATCAAAAAATTAAAACTATAGATATCAAAATGTAGTTACTCAATGCATATCTGCTGCTATAAATTCTAAATTCAGGACTGTAAACTAGATTAGAAACGTATAGGCTTCAGCGAGTCCTTGTGCGGCTGTAATTATTCAGTAAAAAGCTGAATACTTAAGAAGATTATTAAAATAAAATTTCAAAAGTTAGATGGTGTGACATGCAAGAGCTCTCTCTCATGAAAGCTCTAAAATTTAAATAAATATCAATTAAATCCACGTGCAACACTTCGAACACAAAGGTAGAAGTGATGCAAACGATTTTATAGTTGACCGCCAGATCGAGWAAGAATATTAATTTACTCAGAGCACGCTAACAACKAAACAATGATGAGTTTAYTTGGTAAATTAAATTGGATAGAACAATGMGTATTAGCGTATTGATTTAYATGCTAACAATCAACTAAATGCAGGTTTATTTTGTTACAAGTTAGATGGCTTTCGACACATTTAGAAATGATAACTTATTAAATCAAAACTTAATCTCATTATTTCAGAATAATGCAGTAACCAAATAGAAAACATGAAAATAATTAAATTTTATATGAAAATATAGCCAACACATACTTTGCAGACAGTTGTCGAGATAAGAAAGTGAAAAATATATACAAAGCAGTAAAAGTTTGAAACTGAGATTCACATTATGATGCAAAGAAACTTTTTTTCTTCAAAAATTCATAATCATATTGTTCAAGATGTTTAGATAAAAACCTATTCTATTTTCGATATTCTATTCTATAGAGGGAAATACTTCTAGCCATCGCGGCATTAGATTAACAAATAACTAAAACGGTTTGAATTGAGGAAAAATTCTTATTTGAATATTACCCACAAATTGCATATTTTATAGCCAAATTTACTACCAGCAAATTTCGTAAAACATGCACTCAATTTCCATTCAAATTAGTTCACGTAAATAAAACTTTTCATCCAACTTTGGATGTTAATTAATTTCTTGACAAATTTATAGCGCACCTCAAAATAAATTAATTTACAGTGACAAATTATGTCAACAAGGTGTTAATGGATAAAATAACGAATTATACATGTAATTATCAAGCCCKAAATGATTTGGTGGTTTTCCAGCAATTAAATAGCATTAGTATGTACTTGCTTTAAAGTGATAATTTTGCATTTCAACTGAAAGATKCAGTAGGTTTAACCGAAACAACTTATTCCAGTCAGCTTGTCAGTTGGAATCCTTTTTCAGCTGTATMCTGTAGGATATGGAGTTTTTTGAACAATTGGMGAGTCGATAAATTCTACGCAAAATTGTTTTCCATCRGGTGTTTATTTTGAGCAGAATCARCAAGGATCGACAACATTGGCCTATTCGGGTATA